AGTTAGGGTTAGCTGTATGCAGACCTGGTGAAGACCTACAGGAAACGTTTGACCTCTGATTTTGCCAACTAAGGTTAAGTATTGAGATGAAATGTTGCTTTCCACCATTATACAAATATATATTCTTTTAAATCATACGAAAGTATTTCCTGGAACTTTTTTACAGTCTGTCTCTCAAAGTTGAGGTGAAAATTACAGAACTTTCATGTTTTTATCTGGAACAAATTGTACATGCATTCTTGCCTCTCTGCATATGCAGCCTTAGACTCCACCCCTTCTGAGGTAAAAAAAAAAGACTTCAATCACAAGTGGCATATATGACAGCTGCTCAGACTAGCTGCTAGGTCAGACTAGCTGCTAGCTCAGACTAGCTGCTAGCCCAGACTAGCTGCTAGCTCAGACTAGCTGCTAGCCCAGACTAGCTGCTAGGTCAGACTAGATGCTAGGTCAGACTAACTGCTAGCTCAGACTAACTGCTAGCCCAGACTAGCTGCTAGCCCAGACTAGATGCTAGGCCACACTAGCTGCGAGCTCAGACTAGCTGCTAGCTCAGACTAGCTGCTAGGTCAGACTATCTGCTAGGCCACACTAGCTGCTAGATCAGACTAACTGCTAGCTCAGACTAACTGCTAGCTCAGACTAGCTGCTAAGCCACACTAGCTGCTACCTCAGACAAACTGCTACCTCAGAATAGCTGCTAGGTCATATTAACTGCTAGCTCAGACTAGCTGCTGGCTCAGACAAACTACTAGCTCAGACCAACTGCTAGCTCAGACTAGATGCTAGGCCACACTAGCTGCTAGGTCAGGCTAACTGCTAGCTCAGACTAACTGCTAGCTCAGACTAGATGCTAGGCCACACTAGCTGCTAGGTCAGACTAACTGCTAGCTCAGACTAACTGCTAGCTCAGACTAAACGCTAGGCCACACTAGCTGCTAGCTCAGACATACTACTAGCTCAGACTAGCTGCTAGCTCAGACAAACTACTAGCTCAGACTAGCTGCTAGCTCAGACAAACTACTACCTCAGACTAACTGCTAGCTCAGACAAACTACTAGCTCAGACCAACTGCTAGCTCAGACTAGATGCTAGGCCACACTAGCTGCTAGGTCAGACTAACTGCTAGCTCAGACTAACTGCTAGCTCAGACTAGATGCTAGACCACACTAGCTGCTAGCTCAGACAAACTGCTAGCTCAGACTAGCTGCTAGCTCAGACTAGCTGCTAGCTCAGACTAACTGCTAGCTCAGATGAACTGCTAGCTCAGACTAGATGCTAGGCCACACTAGCTGCTAGGTCAGACTAACTGCTAGCTCAGACTAAATGCTAGCTCAGACTAGCTGCTAGGTCAGACTAGCTGCTAGCTCAGACTAACTGCTAGCTCAGATGAACTGCTAGCTCAGACTAGCTGCTAGCTCATTAGTTCAAAGGGATGTGAGCTCTTTCTCTATGAAACCTATAAGAGAGAAAGTATTTAGAACGTTTTCACAGAAACACATCTGAAGATCTGAAAAATGCCTCTGACAGTGAAGTCGGAGTGTTGCGGGTGTTGTATGGAATCTCTGGGCAGGGCTGGGGGCGGGGAGAACTGGCAGGCAATCAGTGGGATCGGCAGGGTGACGAAGAGTCTATTTTCCTCTTGACTGACCTTTATTTCTGCCCCACTGTGAGCTGGATCCTTCATTGATCCACCTGCTTGAAGACTCCCACCATCAGCACCATGAGGCCCCGCCCCCTTTTTGAGGTTCGTTCTGATGGGACTCTGTTGGGCCAGAGTCAGCGTTAGATAAAGCCTATTGTCATTAAGTTGTTGAGTCTGATATGTGGGGCTGAGGACGGAGACGGTGGAGTTGGACGAGCCGTGTTAACGTCCTGCTGATAAGTGGAGGATAATGTGTTGATTGTCCTTCACCTTGCTGCTCTCTCTAAGCTGCTGTTTGTGTAATCTTTGCCCTCTCACTGTTCCAGCCCACATAAATCCTGAGCAGGAGGTAAAATAAAAAGCAGGAGAGCAGGAAATGGAGAATGTGTGGATGTTGGAGGAAAACAGCCATGCATCACGGTGGACAGGTCATTCCAACAGGCCGATGCTGCGTCTGAGTGCTGGAGAGATTAGGGAGGCTAATAATTCCTCAGGGCCGTGTTTTATGTTAATGTGACAGGCCTCGCTGGCGGTTTCTGCTGAGGCGCCGTCTTTGTTGCGCTTAATTTTCCTTTAATGGAGCCTTTGTGTTTGTCTCAGTAGTCGGAGCAAAGATTTCAGCCCCATGGAATTAACTTGTCTTTGAAGCAGAGGTCGTCCTGTAACATCGAACGTTGGAAGATGGTGGACTCCGAGTGCCGCCAGAACCAAACGGTGGCATCGACAGACACGCCTCTGAACAAAAGGACGCCATTATGACACATACCTTTATTTATTGGGATTATTCACAACAAATCAGCCAAAGCATCCCAATGAAGTTAAACTAGACCCGTTCATCAGGTCTGGTTCGCTGAGATTAGAAGAAACGTCCACACAGAGACAAGAAGGAACACGAGACACTCATTCCAGATGTTTCATTTGTTAGAACTGTTCTGATCATCCAGAACACCTGCAGAGGTTTCCTGAGCCTTAGATGGTCTCGCAGTCTGAGCTGGATTAAAGACATTAACTGACCTTTGCACCAGATTTGAGTTTTTACTGTTTCACCGGCGCTTCGTTCATTTAAAGGAGGTCATAAATTCAGATGAACAAAAATAGTAAAAGTATCTAAAAGGAAATGATGGATTAGCAGGTTTTAACGGTGAGTTTAACTCATCTGGGATTTTAGTCCGAGATCATTTTTGATCCTCACATAGGAAACTTGACTAAATGGAATAAAGACCTGAACTCATCTGGATTGCTGACTTGGTGAAGTTCCTTCAGACGCTGCATAAACAAGCTGAACTGAAAAATAAATAATCTCAGATGACATTCCAGATGACTAATCTCTCCTAAGGATTATCGGATCTGTTTAATGTCTGGAATTCTGCAGCTCCTGGTTCTCGTGTCCTCACCGCCTCTCCACCTTACCTCAGCTGTTTCTCTGAGCACCTCCTAACCCCTCCTGCTCCTGCTCCTCCTCCTCCACTCTCTCTCACACTCCGGGATCAGGATCCTTGCTGCTCTCTTCTTTAAGAGCTGAGAGGATCCAGGCTGGATGGACACATGGAGGGAAAAGAGCTTTTATTTTTTAACTGAGATGTGACTTCAAGGAATTCTCTGATCTTCTGGAAATTTAACAGAATGAAAAATGAAGATGCTTCATCAGTGACCGGTTGGATTTACAAGTTTCTGTTCTGTGACCTGGCTGATGATATGTTTCATGATAATTCCTGAAGATAGGAACAGTAAAGCACCCGGATAATCCAGCTGCAGCTGCTAATCCACAGCTTCCACGGGGTGAAGGATGCAGGAGGTCTTCACCCATCCTGGCTATGGTTCTGATTCTCTGCTGGATATTTATTCCCTTTAGTTTGACAGAGTTCTTTCAGCTCAGATGTGTGTGAGGAGTTTGGAAACACGCAGGTCCCACAGATTAATAATCTGTTGTTTCCATCATGAGATTATTCCACAGCAGTCTGATTAAATAATCTCCACCATGAGCCTGAATGGTGCAGTTGCTGTAAGAAGTGCCATAAAACCCAGAGCAGGTCCGATTCCCAGACTGACGGTCCTCCACCGGAGCGCCTGGATTAGCTGTCTGATTCTGGGATGCATCTGTACAACAGCAAAGAGCTCATCTCCATCGGGACGGGTTTTAATCTCTAAGAGTCTCATCGGAGCTCAGGAAGGGTCAGACTCAGACCGGTACTCCGATCTGCTCCGATCTCCATCCTCCTCCATTCACAGGTCACCAGCTACTCTGAGGGGAGGTCACGGTGAGTGGAGGAGCTGAAGAATTAGTTTGTAAATGGGATCAAACGTAGAAAGCTGCACAAATAATCCCAACAGAAACATGAAGATGATTTTAAAATGGATAAGAGTTGTTTCAGATTTAATCTCAGTTTGAGATTGAGATGTTTGTCCGGTGTAACCCAGGACCTGTGAATCCGGTTCTGATTCACCTCTGCAGGTTCGTGTCACAAGATAACGTAACCACTGATATTAATGACAGCCCTGTCCTTAGAGCGACACCTAGTGGCTGTTCCAGGTGGTGCTGCCCCACTGAAGGAGACCATGCAGCAAATATTTTCACCCAACAATCTGCACACACACAGGAAGTCAAACGTTCCACCTCACGCCCTGAAGGGCCCTTCACCTGTCCATCAGGTGACCCGCGGGTGGTTTAGATCGCTACGAAAGCAGCTGGTCACCTCCAGGTTTAACGTTGGCTCTATGCTGCAGCAGCACCAACATCAGGAGGGAGAGCGACCCCTGCTAGCTCCTCCAAAATAAAGCCGAGTGTATTTTCAGACTTTTGTTGTGAAACTAATTTCAGTTTTATGTTCTCTAATTTCCAGAATGAATAAAACAAAATAATTCACATAAAATACAAATATGATCACCAATAATTCAATTCAAATGATTTCAATAGGACCTGAGTCATTCCAACACAGGTCAGGTCATTAAGCCAATCAGTAAAAAGCATCCTATACAAGGAACCCAGCAGGTGGCATCGAGTCACTGACTAGTGTCAGTGACTATACAGCAATCCTCATACTAAGCAAGCATGCAGCGACAGTGGAGAGGAAAACTCCCTTTTAACAGGAAGAAACCTCCAGAGAATCCTGGCTCAGTATAAGCAGCCATCCTCCACGACTCACTGGGGATGGAGAATACAGAGCAGACACACACACACACACACACACACACACACACACACACACACACACACACACACACACACGCACACGCACACACACACACATTCACACTCTGGTGGTGAAGCGCTACATCACAGCTGCAGCTGCCCAGGTGCCTTGGTGCCCGCAGCCCGGAGGTGGGTCTTAACGTTCTGGCTGCCTTCTGCTACCTGCAGCTGGAACCACCTACATCTTTGGTAAAGGAGGAGGTCTCATCGTCTTCAGCTGGCCAGCTAACGAGAGACCGAGCACCAGGACCGACAGACTGACCGTTGGCTTCAGCACCTCTCTGAAAGACGGGATCCTGGCTCGGATAGACAGCGCTCCTGGTCTGGGGGACTACCTGATGCTGCACATAGTGAGTTCTCAGATTATGCCGTTATTCCCAAAGACAGCAAACACAACAAGAACAGAAAGGGACCCAGAACAGCCCCTTGGGGCACACGGAAAATTCCCTCGTGGCTCTTCCTGTGTTTCAGTTTTCAGTTCCTGGGATGAGATATTCAGAGGTTATTTATAATTCTTTAAAATAGATTTTTTTTCTCGATGGATTATTGAAAAAGATTATAATTCAGTTTTATAAAAAAATCACTTTTTTTCTACCTAAAACATTAAAATACAAATTATTTTCCCCTCATTTCAGCAACAAGGGAAGATCGGCGTGACGTTCAACATCGGCACCGAGGACATCAGCGTGCTGGAGAGCAGTACCCCAGTGAATGATGGGAAATATCACGTCGTCCGCTTCACCAGGAATGGAGGCAACGCCACGCTGCAGGTCGACAACTGGTCCATCAACGAGCATTTCCCAACCGGTACGCTGAGATCACTGAATGGCTTTAGTGTCACATGGTTTAATCCAGCGGGAATATTTAGCAGAAAGTGGCATTGAAGCCATTTGTACCCAAATCGTTACAGATTATAAAAGCAGGATTACAGCAAGAGATTATCCTCAAAACTCCGATCATCTCGACTTCAGCGTCCTGGAGTCTGACGCTGCGCTGGACACTGTTGGTCCTGCAGTTCTGGTTCTTCTGTGGTTCTGTGTGGAACAGTCCGATATCCGGCGGCACTTCCAGGCGTTGGATTGTGTCTAAGCAGTGGACAAGTCCAGCTGGAATAAAGACGGACACGATCGTTTTAGACATCGAGTTATTTGTTCAGATTATTTCCAGCGCTGCATTAGAGCAGATAGGCAATCCCTTGAGACGAGTTAGGAGTCCTACTGGTCCAGTTCTGGTCTACATGTCCTGGTCGTGGTGGTCCCAGAAAGGTGCAGAAGATCCCTAAACCAATCCCTGAAGCTCCAGCCCGAGACCTGGTCCACTTCAGATGTTCTGGTCACTTTGCTGGAGATCAGAGCAGGACTGTCGTGGTCCTAAAGGCTGAGCAGGACCCGAGTCTGGATTTGAAGAGCTGGTTCAGGTCTCGGACCCTCCATTCTCCCAGGATTTTCATGAAGCTTGATAATCTGTCATTTCCTGTTTACGAGGAGGAAACTCCTCGGATCAGATCCCTGAAGATCTGCAGAATTTAAATCCATGTTGGATTAAACACAACAGGAAGTGAGAGAGGGGCGAGCAAAGGTATCTTCTGGGTAATTTTAGAAGGAAACAAATCTAAAAGGTTCTCGGTGCTTTAATCTCATCCTTCTGTAGCAGAGTGGGAATAATAATCCGGTTCTGTTGATGTTTTAGTAGTTGAGGTTCAGAGTTTAGAAGAAAGCTGAATAAAAATCTAACTATAGCTAAAATCCTGTTGATGTTCATGTTTTCTGCTGCTGACCTGGTCCTGATGATGAATAAATGATTTCATAAATCTCTTCTTAAACTTCAAAGGGAACAGCGACATTGAACGCTATCAAACGGCCAATAAGAAAATTCCTTTCAAATATGTCCGACCGGTAGAAGAATGGCTGCAGGATAAAGGTAACCACCACCAGAACTTCTTCTCTGTCTTCACCTTCTTCTTCTGTCTCATTCAGATGTTTGGCATGTCTCAGGGGATCATGCATGGATGTTCTAGTCATACATACCACCTTTATTCATATAGCACTTTAAAATCACAGCCACACGGCTGACCAAAGAGCCGAACAGGCGCACAATAACAGAGATAGAAAACATGAAACAGTACTATGAAATGCAACCAACAATAACAAAGACAAGCCGATAAAATGGACAATGGACGATAAAATGAGAGTAGTAAACACCAAACTAACAGCTAACTGTTGAAAGCACGGGTCAAATAGTGTCTTTAGACTTAAAATCTGCCAAGGTGGATGCCGGTGGAACTGTGACTGGAAGTTCGTTCCACAGTTTAGGACCCGCAACAGAGAAAGCTCTTTGTCCGCATGACTTGTAGCACACTTCCGGGACCTCGAGGAGCAACAGGCTGGAGGACCTGAGTGAGCGACCGGGAGTATAAATTGAAAGAAGATCAGATAAGTGCACGGGGGCAAGACCATGGAGGGATTTGAGAACTGGTGTTATATCATCGTGTTCAGAAAAAAACATCTTCATGGAAAATTAATCCGGTTTATCCGAACAATGATGGCTAAGTTTTAGTTTAAGATATGGATTCAGTCCCGGCCCCAACTTCTCACTGAACTTTAAACTCAGTTTATCGTCTGATTCTTGTTCACTTGAGTTCCGGGGGAAGCAGCCCCGGCAGAAACATCAGGAACACCAGGAAGAACCCCGGCAGGAACACCAGGAAGAACCCCGGCAGGAATACCAGGAACAGTCCTGGCAGGAACACCAGGAAAACCCCCAGCAGAAACACTTGGAATGACCCTGGCAGGAACACCAGGAAGAGCTCCACTAGCCACCTACTACAGCCAGTCCATGAATGCATGAGTCAACCCAAGGTGTTGCTCTGAGCATCAGCTGGCATCTTCCAACATGTAGGAGCAACAGTTGGTCTCCAAGCTCCTTCTGGATGTCGGGTTCCTCAGACTGAACCCATCCCCCCCCCCCCCACACACACACACACACACCAGTCCCAACTAGTTACCAATACTGTGAGATCTCTAAACTCCTCCCCCTAAGGCAGGACCTCCCACCTGACCTGGAAGTGACCATCAACCCTTTGAGAACCTCAGATCTGGTGAACTTTAGAACATGAAGCAGTCATCGTTGCTCGCACACACTTCCTGTACTGAACCCTCCACGAACATGTGATGTTTAGTTTTGATGCTTTTCTCCGATAACTTCTGACCGCCGACGTCTCTTCCAGGACGACAGCTGACCATTTTCAACACTCAAGCGACGATCGCCGTCGGGGGCAGCGATCGAGGGCGACCTTTCCAGGGTCAGCTGTCAGGCCTTTATTACAACGGTCTCAAGGTGCTAAAGATGGCCGCCGAAGCCAACCCCAACATCAGGGTCAACGGCAGCGTGAGGCTGGTGGGAGACGTGCCCAGTGTGGCTGGGTCTGCCAGAACCACGGCCATGCCTCCAGAGATGTCCACCACCTTCATGGAGACCACCACGATGATGTCCACCACCACCACCCGGAAGCACAGATCCTCCTCCACTGTGCAGGTAGGAATCAACGTCTGGAACACCTGCTTCATGGGATGGGACCTGGACACCTTCCTGTTCTTCCCATTTCACGTCTGTGTGTCTCGTCTGTTTCCCCCGAACTCTCGATGACCACTGCTCCGTCCAAGAAGCACACAACAGACGACATCGTGTCCTCTGCGGAGTGTTCGAGCGATGACGAAGACCTCGACGACTGTGACACCAACCATCCAGGTGGGCTAGGTTAGTTTGCATTCGCTTGCTTTCTTTGTGCTTCCACTCATCTGCAGCAGAGGATGGGAGCATCCTCAGAGCATCACCCCCCCATGGGTAGACAAAGTGTAACGTCATGGCGCAGCCAGAGTAGGAGGAGCCAGTAGATCAAAGGAAAACAGGATAATTGAACACGTGGAAACATCTGCAGACAGGAGGTTAGCCTGATGCTAGCTGAGCTACACTTGCACATGGGGCTTTCTGACGCGGTTAACATGGTCACCAGAACACATACAAATGTTGGCCACTGGTGGCTAGGATATTTCAAAGTAAAAGCACCAAATTTGTATGACGGTGAGCCATGTTCTCTGCACTGATGCTGCTAAATGTGTTTCAGATCATCGCACCTGCACTTCACCGCTCCTCAGTTTTTTATTGTTTTTAGGATCAACGACAGATTCCATCCGACTCTTCTTTGTTCTGTTGTCATTTGTGTTTTTACTTTATTTTATTTCCACTTAGAGGTGTGCACCGGTACATGTGATAGAGAACAGATATCATTGAATTTCTGTGTACAGGTTTTTCTTTCGTTGGGTCATATTTTTGCTTTTACTCGTGATTCTGTCTCTTTTATATCCAATTATTGATCAAAATAAATTAAATTTCCAAAATGTCCCTCTAGCTGATCAGTTTGAAAGGATTTGGGAATCTTCCTGCTACGTCAGCGCTCGTCGTGATCCCCGCTGGGATTTAGAGAGTGTTCTAGCTCATCTGGACACTGAATTTAAAAGGATGAATGACTTTTTTATGGAAAAGTCTCTTTTGCTTTTGCAGAATAAATCCTCTGTCCAGTTTTAGTGTTTTATTCTCCTCCTGAAGGTCATTCCCAAATGCTTTCAAAGCGGATGTGAGGTATTGAGGTGTAAGCGGGTTTCCAACGGTGCTGTTTAGCCTGAGATTCATGGGGATTTGTGAAGAAAGACAAAGACAGGGCCCCAGTCATCCAATCATGTGTTTACACAGAAATTCACTCCATCCTAACCCCGACATCAGCTGCATGTCTCAGTTTGGTCTTCAGATTTGATTTGATTTTGAAAAGTCAATGCTATTTCCTGGTGTTTTGTCTGGTTTTGGGATATTTTCTCACCTAGATCCCATTCCTGTCTGTCTGCTGTTTTGTCCCAAAATGTGTTTTTTTTTTATTTTGGCCTCATGGTTTGTTGCACGGCCTGTTGGAGGGGGAAATTCGTTCCTGGGTCATCATGTGGCTTCGTATCCTGCAGCTACTTTTATTTTGAAAATTAAAACATTTTCATGCTGTCGCTTTTATTCAGAGTTGGGGAGATAACTTTGTAAATGTATTTACACCCAACAAAAATATAAAAGCAACACCTTTGTTTCTGCTCCGATTTTTCATGAGATGGACTTAAAGATCTAAAATTCATTCCAGATACACAACATCACCATCTCTCTCAAACCTTGTTCACAAATCAGTCTAAATGAGTGATATTGAGCTTTTATTGTGGGCAGTATAAGGTACACCTGTGCACTACTCATGATGTCGGATCAGCATCTTGATGTGGCACACCTGTGAGGTGGGATGGATTATCTCAGCAAAGCAGAAGTGCTCACTATCACACATTTAGACTGATTTGTGAACAAAGTTTGAGAGAAATGGTGATGTTGTGTATCTGGAATGAATTTGAGATCTTTAAGTCCATCTCATGAAAAATCGGAGCAGAAACAAAGGTGTTGGTTTATATTTTTGTTGAGTGTAGTTACAGAATACTGTATTTTGTAGCATATTCCATTACTTTGCTTAATCCTGATACTGTACTCTAAATACTTGGAATACTTCCCTTTCAAATCAGCATTCAAGTCTATTAGATATCACCATGTGTGTCGGCAGCTGCTCCCGCAGGAAAACAGACGGTATGGTTATGCTAAACCATATGAACTGACACTGATTATTATTTCTGCTACTTCATTTATCAAAGTGTGTTTCTGTAATAAAAGCGGTTGAACAGAGCAGCATTACTGTCTTCAACACACAGGCGCTGGTAAATAAAAGTGAAAATGTGTCCGTTACCGTACTCCCCACAGTTAGCTCAGTGAGGAAAACGTTTTTTAAGCTGGTGGAGGATCCATCCAGGTCATGGCGATCCAAAAGGGTTCAGATGAAGGCAGCTGGACTTCTTTGGTTTCTTGAAGACGTTTCGCTTCTCATCCGAGGAGCTTTGTCAGTTGTGACTGGAACATGGGAGAGTCAGGCTTATACGCTGCAGCTGTCTGTTGTTTAACGAGCAGAAACTTCTCTGAGTACCCCGTCTCTCCATCCCCTGTTGAGAGGCGGGGTACCCAGAGTAGTTTGGGCTCATTAAATACGCTCGACTCCCATATTCCAGTCAGAACTCCTCGGATGAGAAGCGAAACGTCTTCAAAAAATCAAAGAAGTCCAGTTGCCTTCATCTACACCCTTTGGAAAAAAATATTTTGTAACCAGTGCAGTAATTTTCCTGATCCGGCAGCAGTCCGTTTGCTCTTGCCTAGCATAAAACATGGAGTGAATGGGAACTAGTAGCGCTTTGGCTGCAAATGAGAAGTAGGAAGTAACACGAAGGATTTGCAGGAGCCGATTTAGACTTGGGACCACATTACGGTTACGACAAACGCCGCTGCACGCTGCCGCGCGTGGTGCATGGATATAACACAGCGGTGGAAAAAGCCTCTGGTTTTCGTTAACAAACGCACTCGAATGTCGTTCCTGCAGATCCTTCGTGTTGCTTCTCACTTCTCATTTGCAGTCGACGTGATTGTTGATCTCACAGGAATAATTGGTATCATTACTGAGTCGTTTGCAACCAAAGTGCTACTAGTTCCCATTCACTCCATGTTTTATGCTAGGCAAGAGCAAACGGACTGCTGTAGGGTCAGGAGAATTACTGCGCTGGTTATAAACACGTTTTTCCCACTTATCTAACTCTGGGAAACACATTTTCACTTTGGGGTGGAATGTCCCTTTAAGGGGTTTCTCCAGATTAGACGTCGAGTCTTTGGACGCAGCTAGCAGGCTGTTAGCCGGGAGACAACGATTCCACTGCACTGGCAGATTTCACGCACCTCGCTACTTTTTTAACGTGAAAAATTGTCTGAATTTCCAGGAAGTGAATGCATTTTTTTCTTTCACTGCTGGAAGGTTGATTGGGCAGCGGTTGTGGCTCCACCCACTCCTCCTGGTCTGAGTCTACACCTGCTACTCATGTTAACGCTGGTGCTAGCTAGTCGGGGGTGTAGCCTTCTCATTGTTTCAGCCATAGCGTTACTATGGTTACAGACGCACATTGTTTAGGGGCATTATGGGATAGATGACCTACACAACGCAGAGACACACGCTGCCCGAAATTAGTTTTTTCATCTTTCGACTGGAAAGTGGAAAACACACAAGTATTCCAGTGGTGATATGAAAGTAACTGTATTCTAAATACCATGTTTGAAAATAGTAACTGTAACTGAATACAGTTACTCATCTTTAGTATTCTAAATACGCATATTCAGTTACTCCCCAACACTGCTTTTATTGTATTTTGGCCTTTCCAGCTAAAGGGCCAAAGTCTGTTTACCCGATGAGACGGCATGAGACCGTCGGTCTGTCCCGCTGAATCTACATTCATTTATTTCCACTTTACGTGTTTTAAAGCGTTTTAACGCCACGATTCACCTTGTTTTTCTGTTATTTTTGTCTGTATTTCTGTTGAAGTCGTGAGTTTTTTTGCATCGCAGCGTCATCAAACCGCCTGGTTTTCTCCACACTTTTTATTTGTAGGTAGGTTTGTTTGGAGAAGTGATTCTGTTCTCTGTGCTCAAGCTTTCTGTTTCCTCCACGACTTTCATAAGATGGCACATGAAATCCAGATGTTCTTACCTGGAGCACCTCCCGTTTACGCAGCAGCATCGTTTCTTTCCTCTCAGAGAGGAAATAAGCTACCTGCTCCAGATTTCATTCTGTTCCGCTCAGACCTGCTTCTATTATTGGGAGGATTTCAATAAAAATACTATTAATAAACATACAAATATGTATTTATATGTAGTTATAGTTACCCTTGAGAACAAATGTAACTTTCCTCGTTTGTATAAATAAACTAAACCTAGAAGCTGGTCTCGGGAGGATGTGATAAAACACCAAAATAAACCAGATTATTTTTGCGGTTTTAAAAGCGAACGCATGTTCCGATAATAAAACCAGGTTCAGGTGAATAAAAGGGTGACTGCAGCTGATGTTTAAACTGGTTTCCACCAACCAGCTGTTGTGAATGAACCAGAAACCCTGAGCCATCTTATGAAACCCTTTTTCTGATTCATGGTGAGAACCAACATGCTGACTCTGCAGGTTAAAGCTGATATCCTCGACAACAAAGCAAAACGAGAAGCACAAAAACTCACTTCCTGATTCTAAAATAGATCCTGCTGAGGCCCTGTGGGCGAGCGAGGCGGTGGGCAACACCAGTGCCTTCATGTGGTGAAAGCTAAAAAGTCTAACCTTTAATAATAATAGTATGGGTAGCCTAAGCCACGCCCATCTACTTCCTGTCCATGGCCACACCCACTGATGAGTTATTTTATGTGCCATGGATTTAACAGAAGATGTCAGTGAGATTAAAGACACACTTTCATGCCAAAACACTAAAATTATTAGTTTAAATTGTTTTATTATTTTCCTCCAAATTAATACAAAAAATTTGAAATTCACACATATTTTCGTTGTTGACGTTTTAAGTCTAAAAACCTGCAGCTTATGTTCATTATTTATACGTTTTTAACTTCCTGGATTAAAATCAAGCTGAGTTTTGTATTTTAGGTGACTCCTCAGCTGTTTAGGGAATAAAAAATTCCCGTTTCTGTTTTAATCCTGTCTGAAGGTGCGTGTAGCTTATAGCGCCACCTGCTGCTTCAGATTCCTGCCCTCCAGCTGATGGAGGCAGCGTTTTCCAAAGGTTTAACTCTTTCCACATTGGAATAGTTTGCTGAACCAAAGAGTGTGTTTGTGGAATAAAACGCTGCGAGAACTAACGTTACCATTAAAGGCAGATGTCGTCTCTGCTCTGCTTCCTGGTTGCTCTCTACTGGGAATTCTCTCCTCTCACACCTGTTTTTTTCTGGAGGAATTCTGTTGTCCGTCTGTTTTTTCCATCATGTCAGCCTGTTAGTTTTACTGCATCAGAACTGACTTTAAGCAGTTTTAACAACCATAATGAAATAAGCTTTAAATCTTTTCTAACTTGTGGCGCTTCTCCAAACCCCGACCCGTTCGGGATATCAGCTTTACCTCTGACTCGGATTGAAATCCTGTTATTTTCAGACCATCGGAGTCGTGTTTTGTGTCTGACTTTTGTTGCTCGTCCCCTCTCAGGTCATGTGAAGCTGTGTCCCAGTTGCATAAGGCGGTTTAAAGGCTCTCCTTGGTTGTTTGTGTGTCACAGTTCAGGAGCAGCTGCACGCGTTGCATCAGGACGGCTTCTCCTGCCAGAACAAGCTGTTGCATTAACCGTTTATTTGTTTTATGGGATTGGGACACAGAGTCCGTCTCCTGCTCTCCTCACACCGCTCAGTCAGTCCGACCAGTTTGCTGTGTTGTTTCTTTTCTACTTTCCCTAAATGCAACTTACTTTAAGCATGCATCAACATCCTGCAGAGCGACTAAACCAAACCAAACCAAACCAAGTGGTGAAAACCCGTCCTCGGCAGTACCGTCTCCCTCTCAAACACCCAGACTGCACGGCCGGCTCGTGTTTAGGAACTAACCTGACAGGAAGCACATGAGAGGGGAGCCCGTCCTCCAGTCGGGTGCCTCTCCCATCGGTGTCTGTTTTCTATTGTGTGCATCTGGTTGTAGTGTGTGCAAAATTTAAATGGCTTTGTTCCTTCATCTTAACATTTTTCATTTGATAGTTGAAACTGGTCCCATTTTTACCAGTGGATCGCTGCTCCTTTGGTTCTGATTATGTTTTTGGCTCACATGTTTCCTTTTTTCTCAGACTTTTTCTATATTTTGACATTTTTCTGGGTTTGGAACGTCTCTTCAGTGACTAACTTGTGCTTTTCACCTGAAACACCAACGGAGACCAATCAGAATCCTCCTCCAAACACCTGTCAGTGAAAACACCAAAACCCACGAGTTGGGCCCTGAAGCTGTTCCACATCCACCTCTCACTTGACACATTTAGGATTTTTAAAAACTATTTTGACAAACTCTTTTCAACTTTTGACTGTAAGAGCGATAAAAACTGAATTGCATGGTGAAGAAGTTGCAGTTTAGGGTTTGTAAGACATGTCAGTGTTAGAGTTCTTCTGTTCTTTTCTGTAGATGGGCATGTATATTGCTCATTGTTTGTATATCCCCATCCCTTCCTTACAGCCAAAAGCTCTAATGCCGCCCGACCGCTTCGTACTGCCTTTACATGGACATGGCAACTGACTTACACTGTCACCCTCATCATCCTCATCTCCTCTGTAGTATGTTCATAGGTCCAACCCCTTCTTCACCTCCTCCCTCGTCTTTAGAAGTACTGAAATAAATAAAGGTCATCCATCCATTCTACCCAAAGTTAAGCAACGCTGTGACATGGATAGACTTTAGGCATCACTGAATGAAAAATGCAGATTTATTTTGTAAAGAAAAGATCTTTCATCTACAAGGAAGAGACACAAAGCATAAAAACAGAATTCTGGTGTTTCTTTTGGTTCTGTGGCGTGGATGTGTGTGCTGTTGCCTCCCTGTACCGTCATGTTTTAAGATAGAACCCATCACAGTGACAAAATGATCTTTAACGGTACCCAGTGGATTCTCACTCACATTTCCTTTGTAAATTCTTTTCCTCTTGCCTAAATCATGCGGGCAAACTGTTGCTGTAAGTTGACTCGACTCCCTCTGTGCATGTTCTGGTTCTGACTAAAGATGCAGTTTGAGATCTGTGATGTCAGACGGATCCCGTGTCCAAACTGCCTCTTTGGTCTCAAACGTGTTTGTGTGAGGAGTGGAAGAATGCTGGGAACTGAAGGCTTCGGTTCCCGGAGCTCGTGAGCCTGTGAACGGACGTGACTGTGTGTCTCCTGACGTTTTGTTTTAGGTGATGAGGTGCATGGATGAGTCCGAACGGCAGCAGATCATCTCCATCCTAATGAGTTTAGAGTTCTCTGGTGACCGAGCTGCTCTTGGCTCAGATTCAGAGGAAAATTAAAACACCAAAAACATTAAATGTTGAGATGAATGAGTGAATAACTCCTCATTAGTCTTTAATGCTGGATCTGACCCGTCGGGGGGTCCCAGTGAAATCTGCTCCGACTTACCTGTTATTGTTCTGAGGGATGAACTCATCAGACACTAAGAATGGATGATTCTGACTTTCCTCTCCAAGACTCAGCTCTGCATGAGAACTAAAACCATAATCAGGAGGTTTAAGGTGATCAGGGAGCCGATCTTCCACACTAAACTGTTTGGATCCGTTCCCAGCTTCACCTGTTGATGACTCATCAAGGTGTGTGAAGCTGGATAACCTCTAAAGCATGAGAGACCGTGTGGAGCACCACTCCTTATGTCCTTCTGCTTTCTCTGCTCTAACACACCTGAGTGACTTCCTCAGCTGACTCAGATCGGGGATGTTGGAGCAGAGAAACGTGAAAGCTGCAGGAGAGTGGACCTCCAGCACCAGGACTGGGCCTAACCAGTGATGGTTCGGTACATGACAAGCACGACCAATCCATGGTCTGGTCTAGAAGCACACGCGTGTCGTACGTAGCTGCCTTTAGCCAACCGCAGGAAAATGCACACAGACCTGATCAGCTGATTGATCTGCAGAAGCAAATCAACATGCTGCACGTATGGCAAGCTGTTAGATGGTATAATGTGCTCTATTAAATGGCTGCAGCAGGCCATTTGTGTATTTATTAGTTTACCTTTTCCCACTCTGGAATTAATCCACCTTTAGTTAGTGTTTCCACTGTAGGAGGAACTTCCTGTTGGAAAGTTTACGGATCAAACTGAAGCGTAAAGCAAGAGTCATGTGACTTTTTATCTCATAGACGATGTCAACTGATAGATCCTGCCTTGTGGTTGTTCATGACTCGCCTTAAATACACTTTCTACAAAGGATGAACCGAACTGTGACCCCCATACTGATGTAGATACCGACCTTTGACCCGTACACTGATGTAGGTACCGACCTTTGACCCGTACACTGATGTAGATACCGACCTTTGACCCCCATACTGATGTAGATACCGACCTTTGACCCGTACACTGATGTAGGTACCGACCTTTGACCCGTACACTGATGTAGATACCGACCTTTGACCCCCATACTGATGTAGATACCGACCTTTGACCCGTACACTGATGTAGGTACCGACCTTTGACCCGTACACTGATGTAGATACCGACCTTTGACCCGTACACTGATGTAGATACCGACCTTTGACCCGTACACTGACGTATTTATTGACCTTCGACCCGTACACTGATGTAGGTATTGCCCTTTGACCTGTACACTGACGTATTTATTGACCTTCGACCCGTACACTGATGTAGGTATTGCCCTTTGACCCATACACTGATGTAGGTATTGACCTTCGGCCTGTACACTGACGTATTTATTGACCTTTGACTCGTACACTGACGTATTTATTGACCTTCGACCTGTACACTGATGTAGGTATGGACCTTTGACCTGTACACTGATGTATTTATTGACCTTCGACCTGTACACTGATGTAGGTATGGACCTTTGACCTGTACACTGACGTATTTATTGACCTTCGACCTGTACACTGATGTAGGTATTGCCCTTTGACCCGTACACTGATGTAGGTATTGACCTTTGACCCGTACACTGATGTAGGTATTGACCTTCGGCCTGTACACTGACGTATTTATTGACCTTTGACTCGTACACTGATGTAGGTATTGACCTGTGACCCATACACTGATGTAGGTATTGACCTTTGACCTGTACACTAATGTAGGTATTGACCTTTGACCCATACACTGATGTAGGCATTGACCTTTGACCCGTACACTGATGTAGGCATTGACCTTTGACCCGTACACTGATGTAGGTACCGACCTGTGACCCGTACACTGATGAAGGTACTGACCCCAGACCACGGCGTATCGTGATACCTTTACACATCAGGAGGAAAGGTAAACTACATTTGAAACAAACATTTTGGCTCCCTGTTCACCTCCTAAACCGTTGTAGGTGAATAAAATGGTGTCCAGTTGAATGTTGCTTGTTTTGCGTGTTTTTAAATCTTTGTCAGACTTTCTAACTCAACGTGTTTCCTTTTATTGTCACTGCTTGTTGTTCTCCCTCTCCAGGAGCTGAATTAGTCATCAGATCCATTAGCGTTCCCCCCGTAGCTCCTCGTGCACCCTTCATTCCCACTCCCCCAACCCACCACCCACTCCTCACCATTATTGAGACCACCAAAGAGTCCTTGTCCAAGGCCACTGAGGCGGGGGTACCTTGCTTGTTGGACCGAGGCAGCGATGATTGTGATGATGATGATGATGATGATGATGATGATGGCGGTATGGCTCTGGGAAAGCGTTGAAGTCTTACCAGCTCCCGCTGATGAAGAAGATTTTTACTCAGCCTTCTCCTGGGTAACAGCTAAGACCTTGTCTACAACACACTTTCAAAGGGACTACAAAGCAAACACACCCAGGACTTTTAGACCAAACAAACCTTCCATCTTCAGACGCAGTAGGACCACCAACATACCAGTCCTCGCCGACCAGAGCCGCACCACTGCCACCTCTGCCTCCACCACAAAGCTCCGGCTAAACAAATAACCACAAGCTAAAACCCCAGCCCGACTAGTGTTGCTTCCATTGCCCACATCCTTTGAGGTAGGCAGCACCGAGCCAAGGGGCCCATTAATAATCTCCCCAATGTTCCATAATATACCCACAGCACTCCCTACAGAGCCAGGCATCAGGCGAGTCCCGGGGCCCTCGGAGGTGGTCCATGAATCTAGCAGCACCACCGGGATGGTCATCGGAATAGTGGCGGCCGCAGCCCTGTGTATCCTCATTCTGCTGTACGCCATGTATAAGTACAGGAACAGGGATGAAGGCTCCTACCAGGTGGACGAGAGCCGGAACTACATAACCAACTCCGCTGTGCAGAGCAACGGCGCTGTGATGAAAGACAAACAGCAGAGCCTGAAGAGCAGCAACAAGAGACAGAAAAACAAGGATAAGGAGTACTACGTGTGACTGAGGGACTTTGGTTAAGCACTGAAGAGAGCGAGAGAGAGAGAGAGAGAGAGAGAGAGAGAGAGAGAGAGAGAGAGAGAGAGAGAGAGAGAGAGAACTTTTATCAGCAGGTTCCCTGTGAGGAGCTGTGACCCATGATGATACCACATGGAGCTTCTGTGCTGAGTAGTTGGACTGATGAGATGTACTGTAACATAAAGCACACCAACCATCGAGCAAAACGCGTAACGACAAGGTTAAATAGCACCTTTAGAACCTGTATCTGGTCAGAGACGTCGTCAGCATAGAAACACCCACGGCATCATCCTCCTCAGTGACTTTTAGAGCTGTGTGATCCTTGGCATTAAACAATTCTGGGTGAAATTGTTAATTACAAAAGGCTCATTATCCATCAGCATGTCAGCAGCAAGTGAAGGGGCAGTCAGGCGCACAACGGTTGTACAAGTACAAAGGACTCTTGTGTCACAATACTACCGATTTTTATGCTTTATAAATTATATAAGTGTGGTGTCTTACTTACTTTTGCTTAAAGCAAAAAAGGCAAAAAGAGCAGAAAGACAACGATTTCTGTGTATTAAAAAATGAGCCGATAGCCGAGGGCAGGCCTCATACCGTCTGTTTGCTCTGGCGTCTAATTCACCACAGTTATTCCCATTGTCCCACGGACACAGTGACTCTCTTTGTGGGAAGAAGCGCCTGATTGTAAAATGCATGCCATCCTGATTCCACAGTAAGGTACCGTACAGTAAAAGTCCAGTCTAGAGTGTGGAACCTGGATCGTGCAAAAACACTCGTTCGTCTTCAGACCTGGACTTGTGGAGCCCTCTGAAAGGTGCTGCAGACCCGCGCTGGCTGGCGCCGCAGCGGCGTGCTTCTCCTGTCGTTTTCTTTTCTACGGAGGTGTTGGGAAGGAGACTGATGCAGTACTACAACACTGTTAACTCGTGTGTACACAGAAGTAAACCAGATGTTGAACGTGTGAATTCTATCTGCTGTCGCAGCAGCCGTGTGAAAAAAAGAGAAATTTGTTTACATATTTTATTACATGCTATCTGTTGTACTTTGTAGGGAGTAAACTGTACATATACCATGACGGTTGTCACTTTTAGTACCTCTATTGTACAGACTGAAGATATGATTTATCAACAGAGTTCATGATGAAATCTATTAACTGTTCATTTACACAAAGAAGACTTTATTTAGCCAGACTGTGGAGACTCATATTGATATTCATAAAGAATAAAAATGTATTGTTAGCCTAGAAAACTACGCAGATGTTTCTAAAGTTGCATGAATATTTAACTACAGATACACGCTGCCATCTCGTCTCTACCGCGGGGTTTTGTGTCTGGCTGCACTTCTCAGAGGTCAGCGCTCTAATAAAGGATGGGTCCATCAGCGTCACCTCTTCGTTTATCGCTCGTTTCCGTTAGCGACCATCGGGCTTAAAGAGGAGGAGAGTTGTTCTCACGACTCGTACTTTCTGTTCCTGCTGTTGTTTTTCATAACCTTTTTCATCCGTTTGATAAATAAAACTTTGGGTTTTTTTCTCTGGAATTATTTTGTACTCGCTGAGGGAGAAATGATCCTGTCAGCCTTCCGGCATTTCTTTAGAGTCCAGGAAGAGCTAACATTCCCAACCGGGATCATTTGGCTTTGCTTATCAGGAAGAACTTGGCATACTTACCATCTAGCGTTGTATGGAAGCCCTAAAAGGCCAAAACCTCGCAACACCGAAGCCGACTGCTTCTTTAAATGTGAGAATTTTCTGTTTGTAAAGAAACCTTCATTTGGTTTATTAGAGTTAGGGTTAGGGCAACATGATGCCACATTTATATCCATCTAAAACACAACACAACAACATCCTGTTTATTTGTTCTTGCATTTTGAGAAAAACATTTTAATGTCGCACAAAAAAATAAACAAAAATAAAAATATTCCCAAAATCAGGAAAACAATTTTTGGGACGTTTTCCTTATCCTTAAGGGCTTCCATACTGTTATAATTTTGAGTTCTAGCTAATTCTGTTTGTTTGTTTGTTTGTTTGTTTGTTTGTTTGTTTGTTTGTTTGTAGGACGTTTCTGATTTGTGTTCTCTCCAAAGATTAAATGATAATTATTTGTTGATCTTATTGTTAATTCACAGTTTAAACTGAGCTCATCGGTTTGTTTCCGCTGGTTTTATTCAAACGCTGAGTCATCAGCTGATCGACTCAGGAAACCATAATCTAAATAATGACTCATCGTTTTCATTCAGGCCATTATTTTTCTTACGGCTGTTTATGAATGTATTTATTGTTGCCCCGCCCCGCCCCGCCTCACCTTTCGCCTCCACACCTGGGTCAGCACAAGTCCTGGTTAGAGCCGCCCGTGAGCAGCGGGGTTTGGGTTCTTGTCCTCAGGGCGGACCGGGTTCTGTCTGAGGGTGCTGCTGGGTTTGATGCGGTTGTGCGGCTCATTCGTCTCAAACGTCCAGCATCACTAAAGGTCCGGCTGCACTTTGCTTCAGTAAGAAGACGTCTGGTCTGTTGTAAACGGAGGATGTGTCCCGGCCCTTTCCCAGCTAGACTCTAGCTCAGGAGGTGTTGTACAAACGTCAGGCGACAGCTGAGGGAGCTGGACGGAGAGAGAGAGGAACAATAGTAGCTGAACGCTGTCTGGTGAGGTTTAGTGAGGAGATGAGGAGGGATGCTATTCTTCAGCATGTAGACACCGCCTACAGCTCTTCTTCCCATCCAGACAAACGTTCAGCTTCGGGACCGCTGAGGCTAGAACCCTCAGTGAGTTCAATAAAACAGGAATTCCTTCCCAGTTAGTCCAGTTTCTGACTCCCGAGGAAGCCCTGTTGAAACCTTCTCCTTGGACCTCCAGTCCGAGCCTCTCTGTGACGCTGCGGCTATCAGACAACCGGCTCTTCTAACAGCCAAACGAACAGCCTTCCAGCTTCCTGTTGTGAGCTGCAGAGATCTCAAGACCGGACGGGTCGAGTCGGAGCTGATCTACGGGCTCCGGACACGTTGAGGTCGATGTCCACCCGACTTCCGACAGTCTGGATCTGCCGGGGGTCTCTACACAAAGGGTCTTGTAGACTCAAGAGATTGCATCTGATGACTTTATCAACCCGTAGCTCATCAAACAAACATCTAAATTCTTTCACACCCAGATTTCACAAACTCTCAGATACAAACAACAGTTGCTGCAACATCCAGCTCCGGTCACATCCACCACACCACTTCTCCTCATTCATATCTGTCATGTATGGATGATTAGTTTAGTTAAAAGAATTAAAATCATTTTATAAACTATAAACTGACTCTGGATTCATACAAATGGCGGTCCCTGAAGAAGAAAAGCAACTAGAATCTTCTGATTAACATTCAAACATCGATCAGGTTGATATTTTCATGTTTAGATGGAAAATCACATCATTTTCAATTAAGCTGTAAAGTTTCAGTTTCCTTACATTATTATTGTTTTATCACAATTTTTTTCTAACTTTAAAAATATTTTAATATTTTGATTTTTTATATTTTAATAGTTTTGTTGTTGTTTGTTTTTGTTTACGTGAAGCGCCTCGTGATTTTTATCTTGAGCGGCGTCATATGAAAGAGAATCTCTCATAAACCAGCTCCAGTGGATGGTGGCAGAACTGGTTTCAGATCTTCTCTCTGGCCTAAACTAACGAACCCTCACACGTCCAACCCTCCATCGAACCCTCCAGATGCTCACAACTTCATCTCGGGTCAAAGCGACATCGTTTTGAGCGTCGGAGCGATGCTGTTTCCATCTGCTCACAGGTGAGACTCATCCTGCAAATCCAGATGTTTCAGCCTTTATTTGTTCCAACCGTGATGATTCTGGCTCACAGCTGATGAAAACCCACATTCAACATCCCAGACAGTCGGGTTATTGTGAAAAGCTTCAATATTCCAGACTCAAAGTGTCGCTGTGGCCAGCTGATGAGTCCAGGACACCTGTAGCGGGTTCCTGAGCCTTCAGCTGGTTTTCCTGGAGCTGGACCTCCAACAGGATGCAAGCCTGTATTCCAGATCTTCCTTGGATAAAAGAGAGGGCATCCAGACAGGTCCAAAGGTCTGGTTCTGTGATGTCTGGATAATAATTGACCCTTATTCCAATAAAGAGACGAGATGTTCAGTAAACAAATATTCACCTTTATTTCATAACTTCTCTCTTTTTACATACAAAAATAATTTTATGGAATCCTGATGGAAACACACACACACACACACACACACACACACACACCTTAAACAGATGAGATGGCTCTGGATGGTGATGTTGAGGTGATTTCTGTGTTCCAACCAGAGACTGAGTCAGAGACTCTTTCATCAAAGGTTTTCATTCTCACACCTCCATCACTCGGACCGGAGCAAACCACGTCCTGGATCCATCCCAACAGCACATCAGTCTCAGATTAAAGGACAATATCCGTCCAAGTTTGAAATAAACATAGGAAGCCTGTTTAACCTTTGACCCCTGCTGACCTCGTGTTTCCAGACTCAGAGAAATAAAAACACGTCTGATAAATCGGATCCAATTCAAGATTATCTGAAAGTTTTGGCCGTTTCTTTTTCAATCTTCAGCATGAAAAGATTCCATGATTCAGATTTTTTTAGTGCAAATAAAGAGAAAACAAAATAATTTAATTATATTAATGCTCAAAAACCCAAAAGGTGCAATTTACGTTTGACTTAAAGTGCAGGAAGAGTTTCTAATCCTCGCGGTTTTCCAGCTGCGTCCGTCGGAGCTCCAGGCTAATTCCTGGTGGGTTTGAAAGGACTGTTGCTGCTTTTCATCCAGATGTGAACCACTTTTACGTTTTAGGATTTATTTAGTTTGACTCTGAAAATCTTTGTGATTTTAGGAAGAACTGAAAAGAAAAATGATTTAAAATCAACAAAGTCAAATGTTAACGAGAGGAAAACCATCTTTAGGATCACGGCTGATCGGAATGAGATTCATAAATAAATACAGGAAAAAACTCTGGAAACGTTTAGAGAAGCCGCTGCAGCAGACTCCAGCATCAGAAACGCTCCTAAAGCTGCCAAAAGCTAAACGTCTTGGCCTGAGTCAAACATCTCTGAATCATCGTGATTCAATCCAGGAATGGGAGACTTCTGAAACCGGTGTTTCCTGCTGCTGTCACTCGTCATCCTCACTGGTTCCCAGTTTGTAGAAAGAAGCAGATCCAGAAGAGTTTCTGTTACAATTTGGAAAAACTGCTGAAAACCTTCTTCTAACAAAACAACATCAGAAAGGTTCGTGTCCGTTTTCTTCTTCTTGGCCCCTACCGCCTGCCGTAGCTGTGTTCCAGCCAGTGACGCACGTCCTTCAGGTTGTAAAAGAACGGTCCCTTCCCCCCCAGGTAGGCGATCTTTCTCTGGTGCACAATGCACACGCGTTCGTTGGCCACGCCATACGCCACGTTGGCGTTGTTGTCCATGCAGTCGGCCACCAGCTGGCACTGGGGCGGCAGGGAAAAGTGCTCGATCAGCTGGCGAGCGGCCCCCATTCTCTCCTCCAGGTTCTGATGCTTCCGGAAGCTGAAGGAGCAGGGGCCCATCGGGGGGGCCACCCAGCCGTCAGAAGGATGGGCCTCGTCGATGTAGACCAGCAGAAAATCTGCCACGTCGCTGAAGTCCTCCACCAGCTGCCGGAAGGCAGGCAGGTGGCTGATGAAGGGGGGTCAGGTGGCCGAGCCGAAGTTCACCACCAGGGGGCGATCTGACGACTCAAAATCCAGGAGGCGACACTCGTCCAGGGTCTGGATCCTGGAAGCAGGAGGGACCGGAGTGCTGGTCCACCACAGTCCGTCGGGAACCTTCACCACCTTGGAGTTTGGAGCCTCACGGCCAAATTTCACCTGAGCAGGTAAAAATACCAACAGTTACTCGTCAGCAGAGCGTGCTCAAGGTCAGGGGTCACCGACCTTTGTGAAGCTAAGAGCTGCTGGGCTGACACCAGAGTTAAACGTCTTTTGTGCGTTTCGTCTGACTGCACGACCCGGTTTTTTTAACACATCAAAAGAGTTGTTTTACTTAGTTTCTGCTGACGTTTCCACGAGCGCTGGGGTCTTTCTCTGCATGATAAACGTGTTTGTTAGAGAAAAACGGCATTTCTGACGTTATATTCATGCATTTGTGATCATAAAAGATGGCAGCAGAACGTTTTTAACCTGTGTTATTTTAGATCTGCTGTTTAGAGGAAAGGCCTGTGGGCCTCCTGAGGTTTCTGGAGCATCCGGGAGCAGACCGCCGCTCCAGACGGACCTTACTTCCATCAGAAAGTCTTTCTGTGCGTTTAAACTTGGACTCAGCTGGTTTCAGCCTCTGAACTTCCTGCTTTAAATGACTGAAAATGAACACCTCATGTTTACCTTCATAGATCCTTTGGGTCTGAAGAGGCAACGACTAACAGAAGTGAAATATTCCTGACGAACATCCCACACATCCAGTTTGGATTCTGGATCACAGAAAAACCGAGAGAAGCTCCAGAGATCCACAAAAAGCTGGAAACACTGAAGGTTTGGGTCAGAGTCTCGCTGGGAGGAAGCTACAAGTGCAGCTTCAAAGGGTCTCACATTTAAAATCCACACAGAACGGTTTTACGCTGGTGTTCGGAATAAAATTCCACATGTGGAATTTCATGAGTTGCTGCAAGGCAAAACAGATTCCGTGGTCTAAGTGGGAACGCGTCACACAAGCAGGGACTTGATACGGGGAATACTTTAAGTGTGGGTTTGAGAATCACAACATCTCCTTCCAGGATTTATGCCGACAATTATGAGATCAAACCCAGGTGGGAATGTCGCCGGCGCTCACAGGGAAAATCTTAGCTTGTTTTTCCTGAATGTGTCTGATGCAGGAATGTGCAAAAGCATCATAAACACATCTGACAACATCAGAGAATGTCACAGCAGATTTCCGTCAGACATAAACATCCCAGGAGGATGTAAACGTCGTAGAGCGGGAACGTCGCATCTTTCCAGTTCAAACCCTGTAGAAGCTGCTGGTTAGGAGCTGACCAGTTCGGTTAGTTTACTAACCTGTACTGGTCACATGTGGCGGGTCGGCTCGGTGGTTCAGGAACAAACCGGACCCAGAGAGATGAAGTCAAGCTCAGAAATAATCACTAATATTAATGTTGAAACTTCCTGTTAGACGACTAAACGATGAACATTAAAGTTTATAAAGGAGGGGATTCAGAACCGGTTCTGCTCCAGGTGGACGGTAAAACACTTTTCTTTTTGTTTGATTTTGCACCAAAAAAAAAAAGTCAACTTTATACATTTACGTTTGATCTTTCTGGGTAGGAGTTATAACAGCTGTGGTAAAAATAACATTTACGTGTTTTATTTACTTTCATCAGAATAAAATCTGCTCTTTAGTCTTTCAATCAAATGCTTCAAATTAAAGTAAACCATTAAAATCAGTTTGTAACTTATTCAAATTGTTTATTTTGTTTTATTTTATTATTTTATTTTATTTTATTTTTATTTTATTTGCTGATTTTGGCGCTGCGCCCCCTCCTCTCAGGGTTGCATGTTAGAATCCCGTCCGGGACCGCACCGGACCGGACCGGACCAGACGTACCTGCTTGTGTGCGTCCAGGAGGAAGCTGTTCCAGATGGAGCGCAGCCCCGCGGAGGTCAGCATGCGGCGCCACTCCCCGCAGCCGGCGGAGCGCGAGCGGCGCAGCAGCGTCACGGCGCGCTTCAGCAGAACCACCGAGTCGTAGACGGCCAGGAACAGACAGTTGGAGAAGAACCCGGGCAGGATCTGCAGGGTCACCAGCAGATCTTCACCCCCCATGTTCTCTTCTCAGCTTCCCGCGATGATTCACACAAGTTGGACTCCGCGCTGCGCAGACACGCGGCTCCGGTTCGGTCCCCTCATGCTGTCGGTTCTGCACCAGACCGGTGCGTCAGGACAGGCTGAGAAGGATGGACTTTAATGTTGAGCTTCACAGCTTATCTTTGGAGAGAGATGCTGACGTCAGGACCCACCACCCCTACACACACACACACACACACACACACACACACACACACACACACACACACACACACACACACACACCTCTGCTTTAGACGAGCTGAAGCTTCTGCAGCAACAAGTTGGTGCTTTAAAACCTTCTGTCCTCCAGGAGGTCGGTGGGCCGATACCTGACACACTGGGGTGGGTTCGGACCTGACCCTGGTTCTGTTCTGCTTTCACTTCTGATTTTCATGAATTTGCATTCAATAATGTGGAGTTTTACTCTCCAAACCTGGTTCTGGTTTGTCTGACCTTTGGATTTTAGCGGCTTGCTGTAGAGCTCTAGCCTGATTTTTTCCATCATATTATTGTTTTTATTTATAATAATCCGTCCGTCCATCTTCTGAAGCCGCTTTGTCCACGTGGGGTCGCGGGGGGGGGGGGGGGGGGGGGGTTCTGGTGCCTATCTCCAGCGGTCAACGGGCAATCAGGCGGGGTACACCCTGGACAGAGAGCCAGTCCATCGCAGGGCAACACACACACACACACACACACACACACACACACACACACACACACACACACACACACACACACACACACACACACACACACACAAACCTAGGGACAATTTAGACAGACCAGTCAACCTAACAGTCATGTTTTTGGACTGTGGGAGGAACCCGGAGAGAACCCACGCATGCACAGGGAGAACATGCAGAAAGATCCCAGGCCGGGAATCGAACCCAGGACCTTCTCGCTAAGGCAACAGCTCTAACCAGCCTATTTATATTATTATTATTATTATTATTATTATTATTATTATTATTATTATTATTATTATTATTATTAAATCATGTTAGAAAAACAAACACAATGAAAATATAATGAACAGACTGGAGTTTTTGATTGGGCTGATAAAAACATAATTATATATTTATTAATTATAATCGTAAAAAGGAGCATCAAGATTTATTGATCTTGTTTTATCGTCCATCCGTTCTCTTCCGCTTATCCAAAGTCGGGTCAGCCGAAGTCGAGAGGTCCAGACTTCCTCCTCCTCGGCCACTTGGGCCAGCTCCTCTGAGGGGAACCGAGGCGTTCCCTGTCCAGGTGGGAGACCAACGGGTCCGGGGTCCCTTTAGGTCTCCTCCCGGTTGAAAACTCGCCTGCTGGCGGTGGGCGGTAGCGATGGGACTCATGACTCTTTCATAGGAGCCGTTCATTAGTCGGTCGCTTACCTCAAAGAGCCGTTCGAAAGACTGGATCCTTTGAACGAAGTGAAGCCAAGAGAGCGGGGGGGTGGGGGGGGGGGGGGGGGTGGGGGGGTGGGGGGTTGTTTAGATGAACGGGTCTCTGCAGGGACTCGACTCTCATCATTCACTTTGAAAACCCGTTCAAAAGATTTGATTCGTTCGTGAACGTCACATCACCAGTGGGCGGAGGACCGGTGGCTCCTGTGTACGCCCCAGAGCAGCTGCAGCTACAAGGTAGCTCATCATCATCAGGTTGTGAATGGGTGAATGACTGATTGTGTTGTAAAGCACCTTGGGGGGTTCAACGACTCTAGAAGGTGCTATATCAAATACAGGCCATGTAACATCAGCCAAAACATTATGACCGCAAACAGAAACCAGGTTTGTTTTTAAAGGAATTCCTGATTAAAGTGCTTCTGCTGTAGATCGGTTATCTGTCAAGCAGACATTACTAGCTGATGAAAGAGCTGAGTAACTGGATGGTGAAAAGAACTGTTTCAGTTTGTGTTTAAGCTTCGTTTAGCTCCTCAGGACCAGAGACGTTCTGCAACAAGGCTGATGAACAAAAGAATCGCCCCCGCCCCCCGCCTGGGTCAGCGGGTTCGAATATGGTTCACATCTCCCCACATTCAAGGAATTCAAGTTCTGCAGAACATGTTTGCTTTGGCGGGTCTGCCTGTACCAGACAAATAAGTGAGACTTTGTTCTGTGATTATCCAACTGTTTCCCCATCACAGGATGTTCCTCGAATCATTTGTGGGGTGGGGGGGTAACAGGATGTTATCGCCACAGAGGGTCATCATGCCAACCCAAACACCTGCTGGAAGAACAAGAGGACCAGGAATCTGTGTGTGGACGGCCCGTTACAGCTTTAACAACAACCTCCACCACACGGACGCCTCAGAGTCCAGTCAGTGAGCAGAGCTGCACAGAACCAGGTTCTCAGACACGGATTTGGTTCCTGCGTCTGCCGCTCCGAGCCAAACAACTCCTCCCACAAAGATCCAGAAACCTGCTGGACCAGGAAATGAGGGTCCAAACCCACCCAGCCACAGAACCAGGCCTTTGGACCTGCTGCTGATACCAACCTGGATCACATGGAGTCCATTTCCTGATCCATTTGACCCACATTTCATCTGAGGTTCTGGTTTATAAATGGAGTCCAGAGCAGTTAGTGGTGTCTGGACCGGGTCGGCTCTGGGTTGGTCTGACTGTGGAGTTTGTTTGTGTCAGACATGAAAGACGGGAGAACTTCAGGAGGAGCCGGAGACCTCGTGAAACTCACCACCAAGTGGTTCCGGGTCCACACTGGCACTTCTCTAGCCTGGCGAGCCATGCTGAACACAGTCATGGGCCGAAGGGATGCGCTCGGGTCGGTGGAAGAAAACCCGCCGAGGTCACAGAAACAACTAATCTGACAAGCATCTGACCAGTGGGAGTCGGGCGTTGCTCTCAGCAGATCCATTTACAAACTCTTGGAACGGGCCTGGACACAAATGACGGTACCCCTAAAGACGTGTCCATTCCAGGTGTGTCCTCTCATCAGCATCACAGGGACTAGCACATCAGAACCATCCATCACACACACACTGATATATTCCAAATGTTTGATTATAACTGACAGCTACTGCTAATCCCTAATCCAGTACCTCAGAAATGAGAATATCACTCGAGCCCCGACCCGACCCGACCCCAGTGCAGAAGAAGACTTCAGCTGAACAGCTCTCAGCGGGGCTTTGGCCTGGATCGCTGCAGCAGAGCGGCGTGGCGGCGAGTCCACCAGTCTGTGGCACTGCTCAGCGCTGTGATTGGCCCACCTGCAGCTGTGCACTATTGTGGGATTCGCACAGGGTGGGGGATGGGGGGGTTAATCAAATCAAGTGTCTTATTTCTGGGTTGAAGGAATCGCTCATGAGAATAACGTGTCATCAGAGATGACGCCGCAGTGATGGAGTCATCCTCCCCTCCTCCATCACCGTGCGGTACGCTGGAGCTGCCATCAGGGACCAGGAGAGGCTGCAGCGTGTGCTAACTCCCGTCCATGCAGGACCTGTACACCTCCAGCAGGTGTGATAGCAGCTGACCCGTCTCGCCCTGGTCCGCCTCTTTAACCGGCTCCCATCTGGCAGGAGGCCCAGATCCATTCGGACCAGAACCTCTGGCCACAGAAACGGTTTCCTCCCCTCTGCGGTCAGACTCATGAATGACAGTCGTAGACCCGCCCACTCCAGTGGCTTTGTTCGAGTCACATGACCCGGTGTCGTGTCGGCACCTGAACTGACCCGCTGTGACCAGAACCTACACTGTTCATCATTTGTTTTTGCACAAAATGCCTCAGCAGCATCCTAAAGTTGTGATTCTAACGCATGTGGATATAAAACCTGATCTGATCGATCTGGTTGCTCCGGACCTCTCCTCCCAGACTCGGGAAGGCACGCCCCGGCTGGCGCGCCTGGCTTCTCCACTTAAATCCAGCCAGAAGACACAGTTCTTTCCTTCAGCCTCGGGCCCGGGACTGTCGTTTCGTGCAGCGTTTCTGTCTTATGGCTGCTGTATTTCCCTGTTTTTGTCATGGTCCTGTCAGTATTTGCGTTTGTCCTCTGGGTCTTGTCTGCAGGTGGGCGTGTCTAAGAGAAACCAGCTGCAGCTGATCCTGTCATCGAGGCCCAGAGGATTTCAGGAGCAGTGGGACACAACACCACTCTGGATGACTGCTCTGTTTGGGTAGCTCTAGCCACTTGGCCTGTCTCCTGTTGGTAGCTGTGAGATAACCAGTCACCTGAACGCCTCAAACTCTCTCTCCTGTTCTCCTCCAGGTTTCCCACTTGTAGGGTTAATGAACTACATATCTAGAAATTAAAGGCTGTTGCTATCAGCCGTCGTCGTCTTCCTCCGCTTATCCGGGTCCGGGTCGCGGGGGCAGCATCCTAACTAGGGAGCTCCAGACCGTCCTCTCCCCGGCCACCTCCACCAGCTCCTCCGGCAGGACCCCAAGGCGTTCCCGGACCAGATTGGAGATGTAACCTCTCCAACGTGTCCTGGGTCGACCCGGGGGCCTCCTGCCGGCAGGACATGCCCGAAACACCTCCCCAGGGAGGCGTCCAGGAGGCATCCTGACCAGATGCCCAAACCACCTCAACTGACTCCTTTCGATCCGGAGGAGCAGCGGTTCTACTCCGAGTCCCTCCCGAATGTCCGAGCTCCTCACCCTATCTCTAAGGCTGAGCCCGGCCACCCTACGGAGGAAACTCATTTCGGCCGCTTGTATCCGCGATCTCGTTCTTTCGGTCATTACCCAAAGCTCATGACCATAGGTGAGGATTGGGACTTAGATTGACCGGTAAATCGAGAGCCTGGCTTTCTGGCTCAGCTCCCTCTTCACCACGACAGATCGGCTCAGCGTCCGCATCACTGCAGACGCCGAACCAATCCGCCTGTCAGCTTATGTTTTCATTTCTAAGAAGTTCAAACAAATTAACGAATGACATTCACATGCATATATAAATATATATACATATATATATATATATATATATATATATATATATATATATATATATATATATATATATATATATACATGTGTACGCATGTATGCACATATATACATATGCATATATAAACATGTATATGTATATATGTGTATACATGTGTACATATGTATATGTATGTGTATATATATATATATATATATATATATATAAATATATATATATACATACATACACACACACACATATACATATATATGCATACATAT